GCAACAGTCAAGTTCTTCAAGAAAAACATTGTTGGAAAATGTGACTGAAGACAAGTGTTGATCGTGTACGATTCTCGTCAATCGATGAAATCTGTGTGTCGATTCCTGTTTAAACTCTTTCAAACAAACATACGGAATGTCTTCGGCACGGTGCTTCCTGGATGGTACTTCAGTGTGAAACCGTCTGACAAATACGACACACATGCGATTGGTCTACGGCACGTCGAGCAAACCACACGGCGTTTGAAGGTTTTCATGTACTGGTAGCGTCTCGGTATGTCTCGTTGACCTTATCCCCGATCAGGGCTGGTGAGGAGGGCAAAGTGTCTCATTTTCTGGTGTTATCAGATTGTGATTTTGACTACTGATTCGAATTTCGATTATTTTAAACTGATGAAAAAAACCCAAATTAACAGACTTGTTCGAAGCTGTTGATCGCTAGTTGATGTTTGATGTTCAAAGCAAGCAGTAATATCATTTGTAAACCAACACGATACCTCAGACAAGGTAGTCAGCAACGTCATGATGTGTGTGTGGTTTATTTTGGTTAAGGCCACACTATGTGCTGCAACTATAGGCTTAGGTAAGGCCACACAATATGGTTCAAGTTGGTTAAGGTCACATAATGTGGAGCATCGTGGAAAAGAAAACCCCATCTGATGCATCTAAGGCCACTCTGTGTGGCGCAGCTTATTTCAGGTCCCGCTTTGTAGTGCATCTTGTTTAAGGTTACCAATTTAAGTAGATTTCATTTAAAACCGCACAATATGGTGCATCCCATAAGGTATGTTGCCTCTTGTTTCCGTCCACACTCTGCGGCCGATCTTGGTTCAGCCCATACTATGCCGTGCATCTTGGTTACGAAAAGACCCTATGAGGTGCATTTTATTTAAAGCCACCCTATGTGATGCATCTTGTGTAAGACCAATCTATTTGATGCATCTTGTTTAAAGCCAACCTACCTGTGTCAACGTGTTTAAGGAACACTCATGATCATTTGATGCATCTTGTCTTAGACCAACCTGTTTCATGCATCTTGTTTGAGACAAAACTGTGTATTGCATCTTCTTTGAGACACCCTGTTTATTTCACCTCGTTTAAGGACATTTTATTTGGTGCATCATGTTTAATGCCAACCTATTCGATGCATCTTCTTTGACACCAACCTGTTTATTGCATATTTTGAAACCGTACTACTTGATGCGTCAAGTTTAAGACCATCCGGCTTGACACCGCTTGGTTAAATGTGCCGATAATACCCTAGTTTGGTACACCAGAAATGGGTCTCACAAACTGTCCCCATATGAAGAATCGAACAGGGGTCGACGGTGTGACTCTTTCAGAACTTCCGTACCTCACCGTACATGCTGTAATCACCAGACAACAGCTCTACAACCAGTTCTTCAGACATGCATGGATAATGGGGACCTATTGTGCATCCATCAGAATCCCCACGGGCAACTTGGGGCTATCAGACACGACGCATTTATCCAAACGAACTGGACGACCTCTCCTTATAAAGTCGATACTTCAAGCAGAACATAGAACTGGTGAATTATTGGTCTGAAAAACCAGGAACGATTCCTCAGGGCATACACACACAAACTCCATTTTATTAATAACCCATATCTCATGTGTGACATGTACTGACGTCAATGAAACAGATAACACTATTCGTTAACTGAAACTTTGAGCATACAATTACACCGTCCATCGTTCTGGTATTTGTTAAAGGCAACGAGAAAATGATACATCTAATTACTCATCATACGCTTCAGTATTTAGTTACAATGAAAAATGAGTTTTTAGTTTACATAAAGGCATTTTGAAATTGAGGTTTCTTTGCTTCGTTTTTTCAAGGGAAAGCAGAACCGCAAACATATCGCAAATCATACTCAGAGCAGATGTGGGATTTGAACCTAGTACAATCATCAAATCCTGGCGCTACAAAGCGGCATAACTCCTTACGGCAACTTGCATTGCTTTGGAAGATAGAGCTTTGTACCTGGTACCTTCCATCTACAGCATCAGCGCTCGGCATGACATATCCACTTTGCTGCTGAGATAATATTGTCACAGCGGTGGTGGATCCCACTCCTCATCAGCCAACATGTAATATCAGGATACAATTTGCGTAAAGGATTGTAACTATGTATTTTCCTCCTCTTCGCCACATGGCAATGATGCATCATTTCAATCCCCACTGTCTATTATGCCTACTCCTGTGTTGTTTGTGATGGGTGACTTCCGGTCGATAAAACACGATGTTTTCAATTCAACAAAATAAACTGACGCCAAATGAACTTTTCAACGATCAATACATTCTGAAGATGATTCTCGTGCACGGTGTTTATTATTCCTGAATGTATGGAATACTGTTGTTACAGTTTACAATTATCGGAGCGTGAACAGTTTGTGTCAACCAGCAGAATTACAGATACAGATAGTTCCTGCAGCATTAACATGTACGCAAATTATTAAAAACAATGCGATAATCGTATTAGGAAACCAAATATCGGCATTAAAGAGAATCGGTATATAAACCTGCGATCATCGGATCTTTGTGCGAGTTGCATACATGCAGATAATACATGTGGATGCCATCTGTTTCGCTTGACCCCACCCCCTCAAACCCATCATGTGCGCGAACTATATTTTCATTTTGATTGCATTTTGATAGAGAGACAGCGATGTGTAGCGTGAAGTGGACTGTTTCTGATTAATGTCAGCCTCGAGATTTTGGTCCGACAAGATGACGTCAATAGCCTTTAATCATGCCTTTATACAGGTAATGCATAGTATGCCAAGAGACGGTTTTACTTACTGTTTTCTTCGGGTTTGTGAGTACAGTCCACGTTTTCCGGGACATACCTTGTTGTACATATTTGTGATGTCGGGAATTCTGTGAATTAGAGTGAATTAGAGCCGCTGTGAATGTAAGCCTTCCAAAGGGCTCGTGTCAAGTTTCTCCTATCTCGGTCTCAACAACCACCTGACTTTAACATGGGGCCTTTTAGTCAACGCCAGTCAGTTCCTATCTGCTACCGGCCCTTCCAATAAAGAAGCCAGTTAGCTCACAGCCATTGTTTCAGTCAAGGACGACGATTACATCATCTTAGGGGAGGTGAAACAGGGGAGTTCTTGTACTGTTCAGACAATAAAAATTACGATACGTACAGCAAGAATTCCACATCATGCAAGTGCATTGATATATTTTTTGTCCTATTTTTCTCTTTGTGTGTTTTGAGGCAGTTTTTTGTTGTTGTAGCAGTTAAGTTATTTCTGTGATACACATTTTTTTACAACTCAAAGGACTCAAATGATCGGCCTTTAAGACAAACACATTTCCCTTGAAACTTCGACAGCATGCGAGGGTGTAATGACACCCTTTTAGACACCCATTTCCTCACAGTGTTGTGTTCTCAGATTTGCAACCTCATATTTAATAATCATTCACGTACAGTATATTTAATTCAACATTTTAAGCGCCACTCGTGGCATGTCAAGTCGTTTTTCGCCTCCATCACCCCTGACGGCTTCCTGTTCAACATGAAATTAAAAGTTTTAAAAACTGAATGCTCAAACACGTAGACCAATCATTTCCCTCATTTTCTTGAAACAAGTTTTATCAAGTCTCTTTATTCCGAGTATATAGCATTACACTCCACGTATGTTTAACAGCCCTCCATTACAGGAAGTTCCCCTTAACTTGCAGAGTTTTCTTGTAGTAAATGGCCGCCTAATTCTAGCTTGACTGCTTGAGGCTTAGACACAGTGATTACCGTATAAACTGATGGATCTGATTATCAATTATTCAACATACACTTCTTTCTGATCCTCAAGTTACATTCATTAAAACTGGGGAATCACTTCCTTGAGGCTACGCTAGTTTGTCCATACAATTACAGATTAAGTGGTGCTAGGCTGATGCAAAAGAAATATGAACGAGTCTTTACAAAAGTTAAAAGACGAATTTGGCATTCTCATTATTCAGCTTGTGTCTGGGGCTTTTTCTCGAGGAAACGAAATCTGAAACCTTCAATACAATTGCAATCCAACGTCGGAACAAATTCAATATAATTTCGATAGGAATTGTTAACTTGTTGTGTCTGAAATGCTGTTCTTATCGGAGAACCGAAAACACTCATAGTCACTGTTCAATCATGAACAAAAGCTAAGAGCATAACATTGAATCTTTTGAACTATACAGATGGTAAGTAAGTATCACAGCGCCTATGATTTTAACATCTGAGAATGCAACTGCAATAAACGTTCCATTAATTCATCAGTGTGTGTGAGTATTTAGGAGACCTATTTCACTTTCTATTGAGAGAGTGGTGCTGAACTCTATTGACTGAGTGAGAAGAAGAGATGGGGTATTAGCTGCCTTGACATTTGCTGCCATCATTGTGAAAGCATGCTTGCGCTGCCTTCTTAAGATACTCATCAGAGGTTATCACATACATTGGTTCATTGAGATATCACCAGTATATATTCCATGTTTGAAACAAAATACGAGAAATATTTTTTCATGAAACACATATGTATAATCTTACTGATATCTTCTGGGGTTTAATACTAATCAAAACGTTAACGAACACGCCAGCCATTAGAGCACAATCATATAAATAATTGTTCTTTAACTTATTTTCAGTACATCACATAAGTTATAACCAGCATCAATATTAGTGTAATGGGGTTTGCCCCAGCTAAAAACACAAAGTCCTTATTAACCTAATGCAGGTAAATTACAGATTCTTAAACAATACATTCTACCATGACTTCAGTAAATACTGAGTTGTGATTGGTTAATTGAAGTCATTCAGAGGTATATAATCACGTTATATACCTTGTTTGAGTGGCATTTAGAGTTGGTGTGATGAACAACGAGGAGAGTTCTATGGCTATACATCTTCTTAACATAATATGAGCGACGTTTCAGTGTAGCTACTAACACCGTTATCAAGCAAATGATGTGATATACATAATACGTTATATACCTCTGATTTTCCAACACAGTATGTATTTTTTTTTAAATCTGAATAACGCAGAAATGGTAGAATGGAGATAAAAATACTGTGTTGGAAAGTCAGAGGTATATAACGAATTATAATTGCTCTAAATTTGGTTTAAAACCGAACTCGTTTATCCCCTAATTCTACTCACTGTATATCTTGAATCAGACATGTTATAATTACAATGGCTGTGACTTTTGGCTTACATGTTTACGTATATCAACAGGAAACCGCATGGAAAACAGAACTATTCTTTCAAACTGACTCCCATCTATGTACAACTAAATACCACCAGTAACTGACTGTAATTATATACTGGGGATCTGCTGAGGCTGATTACAACAATATGTTGTTTTTGCTATCGATCACCAACCAGCGATACTCTCCAGTTCTGATTTGATGGTTGAGTTAATGAAAGGGTTGATATTAAGAATCATGCTGTGGGTAATCAGGAAACACTAAAACATGCAAAAGCAGAAACATGAAGCACAACCGAAAAAAAAAAGCAAGAACAAACTGGTTCATTGTCAGATGCTAATTGCTTTTTCCTTCTGTCACTGGCATGTCACTGATGATCTCTTTCCCAGGGAGCTGACTTCTTTAGACCTGAAGATATTTCATTCCGTGTAAACGTATCTTCGATTTGTCAAAGAATGAAGGAATGGATAAAGTCTTTGGCATTTCGAAATCGGAAGAACATGGAGACATGATTTTGAAGGATAACAACGTCAGCTTCTAGCCTGCTTCTTGCAGGTATTGATTGTATCAGCGTTTAGCCATGCCTCTGGTGACAAACATGCACAGCGATCGTTCTCATTTCATTCCATTTGCTAATTCGTATTATGTGCTAAGGTGAAAACAGTCTTCGTGTAAAATGTTCCTGAAGGTTAATTTCACACTTGAACCCAATACAGCTGGCATTTCAGCTGACATTCTAAAGACAGAAAAGCATCTATTATCTTTAGTGACAAAAACTTTTAATCTAGACGTCGAAGATGCGTGTCCATTAAAAAGGTATTGCATCACCATGCGTCTTTGAAAGCGTCATTCTTGTAGAACATAAAATACATTAAAAATGTATCATCATTTCAACCCACCTCACTATTCATGCTTGTGCACATTAATCTTGAACTTTCTTTCACAACGGGCTCTTAATTAGGTCTAGACAAAGTAACGACACAACAGAATCAGACAGATAGGCAATTTAGAAGTACTTTAGCTGAAGATATAAGTTAAATTACTATTCACCGTTTTGTAAGAGCTCGTAATGCTCCTTTGTATTTCAACCACAGTTTGTGTCGACAGTCACGTTGTTGCTATACAGATCTATAAAGCTAAACGTACTTTGGTTCAAGGACTGTATAGACTCCAAACCAACATGACTTATTTACTCATAACTGGAAAGTAAAGCTAGCTAGTATGGCGTGTACTGTGACTTTTTTACAAAAATAATCTCATCAAACACTTTTTACATTGGCTCAGCGGAGATAGTCACATCACGTGAGTGTTGGTATTATATTGTTTGAGATAATGAATTGGTGTTAAGTAGATTTAGGGTTTGGGCATTACTGATTACTACTTGAAATCATGAAATAAGAATCTGATTTATATTGTGCTCGTTAACGGCGATGTTGTGTGTATATTGCACTTGTTACCTTTGTGCACACGTTTATGCTTTTTGAACAATTAAGAACAAGATGACTTCATAGTGCTGTATCAACTGCATATTTAATGTAAAGAGCTGCATTGACACTGACATAGTCAGCATAGACTCGCCATAGGCATCCAATTGAGAATATAGACAATGTTTAGCATGTGGGAAATATACTCAGTACTGACTGAGTTTAAGGTTTAGGAAGGACGTGTTTGGGTCTGCAGGTCATCATGTGGGTCTGTCATTTCGGGGCTTGTAATGGGAGAAAAACCGATAACTGTTTCTGAGAAACATCAACAGAAGGTTGAATCTGGTTACACGGAACAAGTCTATAAAAGCTTTTTTTCAGTTGTTGTAGGACAGGAATTGTCCAGACTGATGACTTAACCAGACATGAGGAAAATACCATCACTTCAGCGCTGTGAAATACGACAGTGTCACTCCTAGTGGTTGCTTTTGGTAATAATAACAGACCTTTCATTGCACGTGTAAGTGGTTAGCGTTCTCATGCGCCAAATTGATGGACGTGGGGTCGAATGATTGTTTTGTAAAGAGTGCGTGTGGGTACGTTAACGCCTTTTCGAGTGTGTACTTCAATAAGCAAATATACTGTAGGGCTTCGTTCAGCCTTAAAGCCGGGAAAGTTCAATGAAATATTAGTCGTATTTTAAAGAAATTTAAGAAATGCCTACACAATTAGCCATGTGCTCAAAACCCAAACATTTGTTTCATTATGAAAGAATACGTTTGTAAATATTCCTCATTCTTAATGGATATGCTTCACATGTTTCCAACACAACGATCCTGGTCAGCATTGACCTTCATCACCAGCTGCTTGTCGTACATAACAGGACCAGTTGATCTGGCTCGCCGTGCATGTCACAGTGACTTCATTTCAAATACATAAATCAATGCTCATTATGTCAATCACTGGATTGTCTTGTAATCACTCGATGATTTACAGACCGTCGTCATATAGCTGAAATATTAATGAGTGCAAGTAACATTATCAAACAAAACATAACAAAACAAACACGAATAAAACGACTGCCTCATTATAGCTTGGCTGCTGGGGACATAGACACAATGATTACCGTATAAACTCGTGGCAGTGATTATCGATTATTTCACAAGAACAACACTCTAATTCTCCAGTTACATTCATTAAACCTTTGGGGGGATCTTTCTTCTGTTCGTCGTTGATTTCTTCACGCAAATACATAACAATCTGTTTCATGCAAAAGAAACATGAACATCCCTTCACAGAAAACAAATTCTGATACGATGATTCTGACTTACTGTCATATTGTCATGGGGACAGACTTTATTTTCAAAACTGTTGCAGCACAACTACAATTCAACTTCACTACGAATGAGTATTTTAGCGAAAGAAAACTGCGCCTTGTGTTTTTACGGGGGGAAAGGACCCCAATGTCTTCAATACAATGCAAATGCATTGCAACTTCACTACAGCTTCAGCAGTATTTCAGCCAACGCTGAAGTACTTTGGGGAATTATTTCCAGTAGCATCTGATCAAATGAGTTGTGGCAAAATGTTGTACCAGGATCCGCGTTGATTACAATACCTGATTACATAATGTTTATTATTACTGTGTCATCACCATAATAGTATCCTTGCTTGTTTCACCAAGTAATAAATGTTTAGTCTTAACTAACTGAAAATCATCTTCATGCATTACGCTAACAAGCCATGATACTGTAACAATCCAAGTACTGTATGCAATCGGCGTTCAATCGATCTGACTTGAAAATATATTTCTTGTGCATTTGAACACGTGCCAACACTTTAATTCTAAATTATGTTCCAATTACCAAAACGTTCTGAGAGTGAAAGTTTCCAACAACTTTCCAACAATTTAGCGACGTATTTCAATTCACGGTATGGAGAGAGAGGTTGATGCAGGATACGGAACAGATGTTGATTCAGTCAGTGAGAAGGTGACTTGAGGTATTAGTTACCTCAGCAATGTCAGTCTTGTGGCCCATCTGATTAAGAAGCATGTGTGGTTCCTTCTGAAGATGAGTTGTCAGAAGTGTTCATATATATATATATAAATATATCCTTCCTTATATTAACACAATTTCGCCGTTGTTGTAATGTTATAACATATGATTTATCAGCTTCTGGTTTTGATCACATGAAATCGGATTTACACAAATCCTAGTTGTGTAGGTACGGTTGTAGAAGCGTCTAGGCGTTCTCAATGAATTTGAATGGAATGTTCAAATAGATCAACTTCGGTGGTAATTAGAAGTAGAAACGACAAAAAGAACGCAGTCGATTGTACAATCCTGACTGTATCATGGGGATGCCTGCGTTCGAGCAGCAGTATTACAGGTGTACGACAGTCAACACGACAGTCTGGATCAGACATGATGACAGGGCATGTGTTTCAAATAGTGAGGATACCAGGTGTTCAGGAAAATGTGAGCGTATCCTGACCCACCAGTGGCAGTCGCCATAAACATATGCAAAGACTGGGCCAGTTGATTCTGGACCAATCAGTCCAGCGAAAAACAGTATAAGCATCGATCGACTCAATTTGAATACGATGATATGAGCCAAGTCGGCGAGGGTGACCCCCGTTACACGCCTCTTACGACAAGCATGGGTTTCTGAAGATAAATCGGAAGTCGGAACTTCACGGGAATCAACACAGTGGTTGTGTGTTTAACAAATGTAACATTAGTGGTAAAGTAAAACGTAAGTCTCTTTCAAAATGGCACTCATCGACGTATACAAGAAGTAAGTAGATGAGCTCATGAAATGGCTACGTACTTACTCTCTTCCTGCTAGGGACCTTCTGTCGCTATTTACAACGTTTTCACGGCTTTCGCAGTGAATTATAAGTGCTGTGATTCTCCAGTTACATTCATTAAACAGACAAAATGTGTCTGGTAAACACAAAAAATGAAACAAATGAGTCCACGGAAAAGCAGTGACACGATACGTGATTACAATATTTGTTGGGTTTTTTGTTTTGTTTTTGTCTCTGACATTACACTTCTGCCATTAAACTGACGCAGCTGCCGTCCTTAGAACTCTGGAAGATGTGACATGTCTTGGTTTCTTATCGAAGAATATAGTTCTGGTTAATCGTTGATACTTAGGCATTTAGAATTTGGAATAACACGAATACACGAATTTCTTATGGGTTACAACATTTTACTGTTTGTAAGTAAACAAAACGCATATGACACAATTGTAAGTCTATAGAAAAGTAGACATCCTAATCATGATTATTATTAATACAAGTGACAAACACCATTTGCATAATATTAAGAAATACCTGATAAAGTCCAAATACATTATGCGATTGGAACTATCTCATGTGTGTTTGAATTACCATCAA